GTGTGGAAGGCTAGGGAGGGAATGACTGATGCTTCTGGACCCCATATAGGACCCCATATATCTCCAGATCTGACAGTAATGGCAGGCTAACTCTGTCCGGTAAGAGGCTCGTTTAGAAGTTTAGACCCTAAAACCCTAAACCCTAAACCCTAATCAATGGACCTGATTGCCATTCTATGCTCGGTGCTGCTTGGTGCTCCACTTCCAGTACCAACCGCTCACACTCAGCCCAATCTTTTAAAAGTGTTATTGGCTGCAAACAGCATGAGTTGATACCTCAAGGCCGTTGCCCTTTTTTTCAAAAAAAAAAAAAAAAAAAAAGCATGAGTTGCTTTGTAGCCAGCTCCTGTGGCTGAATGGTCCCGACTACAACAGACAATCAACAGGTCATCATTTTGAATCCTGAACCCGGATGGAACTAAACAGGTGATGAGTTTTGACTCCTGAATCTGTGTTATAAACTGGGCTGCCTGGGTCACCTTGTTTCCGGGCCACCAGGCTGGGCAAGGACCAGGGAAGGTCCCTGAAAAAAAAAAAAAAAAAAAAAAAAAAATGTTGTGCAGGAAAAAAAAAGAACTGAACAACTTTTGCGACAGGGTCGTACCGAAATTCTTTGTAAAAAAAAATAAAAAAAAATATGATCATTTTTGGCCCGGCAGCGCAAGTGGTCCCGGCCCACTCTGGTAACATAGGAGTTCTGATGACATAAACAGGTCACGATTTGCAATCCTCATCGAATAAGATGGATAGTATTGGATACAATAAAAAGGTAAGGGATGGCCACTTCCCTCTTTCTTTGGAGAAAAAAAAACATAATTTGTTCTCTCAACAGTCTAGCAATCGTTAATCATTTAAGTCATTTCTCTTGTCTTCTTCTCGTGGTTTTTTTTTTTTTTTTTTTTTTTTTTGGTGGATACAGCAGAGAAAGGTGATACTGTGACGATTGAGTCGGTGATTCTCTCGCTCGCATGTGCATCTGCCGCATGCTCTTTGGGGCGTGCTGTTGCAGCTGGGATTCCACAGCAATTTGCAGGTGAGTAGTACTGGGCTAACTGGGCCCATCCTCAACAGCTTGGCAACAGAGGGTAATTAAGCCTCAGTGATCGCTACTGCTAAGTACATCTCTTTCTCAATGTACCTTGTATCAAATGTCAAATAGTTGAAATAGAGGTATTCCTTTGGGCATTCAACTTTGACGTTTCTGGCCGCAATTTCGGCGTTTTTTTTTTTTTTTAACCGAAATCGTCAGGTCCAACCAGCGCGAACCCGGTAAGCCCGGACGATTTCGGTTCAAAAAACGCCACCAAAATTGCACCCACGAACTTCAAAGTTTTTTTTTTTTTTTTTTTTTTTTTTTCCATAACAGGTCCTTATGGTCCTGGCTCCATATCCATTCTGGGGAGCGTCAGTCCGGTTCCTTTCCACCGGCAAGTCGAGAATGAAATACATGGTGAACACCCACACGCTTCCTTCCGTCTGGCCGAAGGAACCCTGACCAGCATTGATTGCTCCTTATCAGGAGGATTGACTGTCAGCTTGCCCTGCCTCTTTTCCTCTCAGAATCTATAATGACTCTGCCAGATACTACGTATAAAGCAAGAAAATGGGAGAGTTGTCTAGGCTGTTGAGATTATAATCTCAGTTAGTTCTTCAATGGGACCCTGTTCTTGTGTTGTGCCACTTCTTCCACACCATTCTGTTGTCCACCACTGTAGCGATCTTTCCCTGTAGAAGCCAGTCTCTTATGAATTTGCGTCTCTTTGTGGCTGTCCTTTCTGGTCTGCCTTTCRTCGTCATGGATATTTCTCRCCATCTGGAACGAATCTCTGTTTCCRCCATTCTCAGCAGTAAAACCCACATTTCCTCTCTAGGCAACTCAGTTCCTTCAATCGTCTTGGAGCATCTTCTCTTCCAGATTACCCAAAGTGCCAGCTTTCTGAGAAGGTGGAACCACACATCCTTGCCTCCTCTGAGATTGTTAGTGTCGTTAGATAGGAGCAGGATGTTCAGGGGGGTTGTGGCCGGGGGGGGTTGTGGCCGTGCACAGTCTGCATATATCAGTGCTGTCAGGGTCTGTGTGTTTTCTTCTTTTGTGGAGCCACTGATTGGTTGGCAGAGAGGCGTGAGCTAAGAGCCATTGCATGCTTCGAATCCTAGCCGGTCTAATGGTTAAGAATTTAGTCCACGGGATGGTTATGGCGGTTGAGGGGTCCAGACACAGTATGTCCCTCCATTTGCTTTTGAGTCTGGGGTCTGGGTCTGAGGTCTGTAGGCCTAGATCATAGCCGAATTTGACATTGTATTCTGCTATCGTTCTCGTCTTCCCTGAGTTTGCCTGTTTCCATATCCATTCTTTCGGGTCGAATTCTAGCTCTGAGATGCATAGATCCGGTCGGAAGATTTTCCAGGGTTTGGTCTTTGATACCCTCACTTTTCTCAGTCGGAAAGTCTCCAGCATCTCGCTCTGGGGGTCGTTGTTCTGGACTTGCATTTCATTTGTGCTATGTTTTACTACCGGGTAGGAGTAGAACTTGGATAGGTAGACGGGTGGGTTTGTTCTAGCGACGAATCTGTATGCTCTGGTAGGCTGGGTTTGGGAGACTGGTATGCCCCAGTCCCCGGACTTCCACGAAAATTCCTCTCTAAGGAGGGGGATCCACTGTGTTGGGATGCTATTTTGGATCATTGTTAAGTTATCAGAGAGGGCGTGGCAGCCTTTTAGTGTGGTGCGTAGTTCCTGATCCGTCGCCCACCGTCCTTGGTCTTCTACCCAGATGTGCTTGACCTGCCACACTCCTTTTTCTACCCACGATAACCATCTTCGGTCCCGAGAGCGTAGGGTCCAGGTTGTTCCACTKGGGTCARTGATCCAGGGGTTGCAGAATAGCGGTTGTCTCAGGACTTYTTCTCTRTTACCAGGTGCCCCGTGTTTGCTTGGCATCATTTTGCGCCATGCTTTGATGGTGGGGCTCCAATATTTGCTGACTGTCTGCGTTGTGTTTGTGTTGGGTTGTGCAAGAATGTGCTGTGTGGGGTTTCTTTTGTGTGTTCTGCCGGACTTGATTGTCCATTCCTTTGCCATAATCCAGAACAGGCCGTTCATGTTTGGGGGGGTGTTGATGGGAGCTAAGTTTCTGATGCTGTCTAGCGCCATTTGGGTCCACGGGAGGAACTGTCTGGTGAGAATCTTGATTATCCATTTCATCTGTAGTGCTATGGATTCCTGTTTTGGGTCGATTATCCCGAGGCCCCCTTGTTGTGGCTTCCTAGTGATGTGGCTCCATGCGACCCTGTTGATGCAGGTGGTCCTGTTAGGGTCACTTGTCCACAGATAGCACCTCACCCTGTTCTTGAGCTCCTT